CAATAGAGACCCATCTGCAGGGCTTCCAGACAGCGACAAACAGCGGCCACTCCTGGGACTCACAAACTTGCTGAAAACTCCAGCGATATCAAAAAATGAAAGTTGCAAGGCTCTCCTGGGGCTCTGATTTGTTTCGAGTGCTCCGACCCTTGCACCTGTCACATCTCTCCGAATCTCTCCTGTGAACTAAGAAAAATCGACTGTGAAAACCAAAAGGCAGCCCCCCAAGCAGAAACACTCAGCAAAACTCCACAGGCAGTGCGCTGCGCCGACTCGCAATGTTGTGTGAGATTTGGGCTTAAACTATGCATATATACATTTTACAACACACTTGACTTCCATGCCAGTAACACATTGTGTTGCACTTAGACTCACAGTTTTCTCAAACTGTAGCACTGTAGTAGCAACACTGTGCAGCATCCAAAACACTTGGCGCCGAAGTGTGTTTCATGTCTCACAGAGAGCAGTGAAGTGGTAGGTTCGTGGTGCATGGTGAATTGCTGCCTCCTCATCTGGTAAAGCCGACCCACTCATTATGTGAGCTAAAACACGAAGCCCGCTTCGAGCCATCTCGAAGAGCCACTCGAGCAAACACAGAGCCTGAATTAGTGAGGGTTTCACAAGATTAAGATCCACTTCACATGGTTTCCTGCACCAGTCACATCAAATCAGCCGGAGCACAAAACACCACGACAGGCGACGCTTCGAGCTCACCACGTGAGCACCCTACGCCGCACCGTGCCAACGGACTGACAAAATTGCAAGACGCTGTGGCGGCAAAAGGACGCATCAAAGACCACATCATTTACCTGATCAGACTCGGGGTTAAAGTGTGTGTATATATAGTTGTATACACAAACTTATTTAGATGAATTATGTGTCTTCATCGATGCCAGGAGCATTCACACTTTGAATGCTGAGGCCTGGACTGGGAGCAACCAAATCGGAGGTTGTCCGCTCAGGGGAAGGTGCTTCAGCCCGCGGAGTTTGAAAAGGAGTTCCACATCTCGAAACATCAGGCGTGAGGAACCCGAGCGTGACCTCAAAACTTTTGTCTGGTGTACGGTTTGGGATCGCATGAGCTCGGGCCACTCGGGTTGAGTGGTCTTGATTTGGGTTGCTCCAGTCGTGACAGTTTGCTTGGAGGCCCAGTGGCGGCAGTGGGCCACCACCAGTGAAGCCACTCCCGTGGGATTCAGACATTGCTTTATCAACTGGCTGGGTCAAAGAGTGTGTGGCAGCTCTAGCTGCTGCGACTGCAGCTGCAAAACATTGGGCTTCCAGTGCCTGCGCCAACAGGGGGCAAGCACTCCGCAAAGACAACAAGCAAATCTTGGTCCGCATAGCCGAGCCTTGCCAGCACAGCGATCGGATTCGTTGAAGGTGTTGTTAAGCACATCCAGCCCTGAAAGGAAAACAATTTTGGCGTAGCAAATCTCGCCAAAACATGCAACATGCCAGGCCAATGAAAAGTTTGAAGACTGGTTTCATTACTCTTGACACTCGGGGTGGTTGACAGACACAAGCTTCTTGAGACCAAGCTGGAGAAACACCATGTGGATAGAGTGGGTCGAAATGACTATATATATATACTGAATTAAGTGCCAACGCGGTACTGGCTTACAAAACATATGTATGGCCTCGCATCCGCGGAGTGCAGGGTGAAAGCTCAGTCTCCATGGAGTGCTGGAGCTGACTCAGCTCATTCAGTTTCCTGAAGCACGCATCGAGGATGAACTACATACAGTATAGGTGCCCGGAGAGGAGAGAAAAAAAGAAAACACACATTCTGCCATGTCAATTTGTCAATGTGCCGTGTCTGCTGCTGAGCTGCTCGAGCAACTCGACCGAGTGCTCCGTCACTTCTCGGGCCTTCCCTTCCACATTCGTTTCACTTCTTGGATCCTGAGAGGAAGATCTGGCTTTGGATTTCACAGACTTGGCACACTCCTTAGCTCAGCAATAGCATAACACAAAGACCACACAAAACGGCATAGCATCCTTCTTCAACTGCATTCCCTCTGGCCGTATTTCTGGAAGCAAGGAGTCATGCCTCAGACATCCAGCTTGCAGAAACGGAATCGCTGCAAACTGTTCATCAAAACGTGAAAGCTGCTGCAAGGGGCTGATCGAGCCGGAAGTACTCCGTTCGGCTGGAAGGCTGTCTGACAACCATTGCCATGTGAAGGAGCCTCTTACTCTTTGGAGAGTCTACTGCGCCATTTCTATCAAACCACCACAATGCGACACCCGGAAAATGATCAAGTACCAACTGGCATGCATCCTCAGGTCATGGGAAGTGAAACTGTTGAGCCAAACACATGTACATGATGTCAGCAATGTCAACAGAGAAAACATCTTGTTTGTGGACGACTGGACCGGGATGCAGAAAATGTTGCGCTGAAGCCTCCAGCTTTCGCCAAAGTATTTTCTTTCGCCCGAACACTCATCATGCCAGGGAAAAACAACTTTGCCCCACAAGGACCATCTTGGTCATGGCAAAGAATCTGCATGATGAAGGCCAGACGCAAATTTGCCAATTCTTGCTTCAGCCCTTGCTTCAGCAGTATGATCCTTCATTTGTGCACCCACCACACATCTTTGCGTCGATTCTCAAACCTGCACAGCTATAGCCGAGTTCAGTCAAAAACAGTCAAAAACCAACAGAACACGCAAAGGTTTGCAAGCTTTGCCTTTTGTACACCGAATGGACCGGCGGTCCATATTGGAACTTGCCGTCAAACTCCGTGTACAAAATGTAATTCAAAGCTGCCATATTCCTTGGAAGTTCTGCACAGGCTGGCGGGTGTGCACAGGGACTAACATGAGAGCCATGTGGCAGGCAGAAACACCTGTTGATTCCAGTCCCAACAGTCAGAAGCATTGCACATTGCACCACACCTCAAAAGTGGAACTTACACCACAGCCTGGAAAAGTTGCTGACAGAAAGCAGCAGCAATCGCGCGTGATCTTCGTCCAATGGATCAACCGACCAAGGTGAAACCTGCCACCCATAAATTTCGGTGCTTGGGCGTGGCTCAAATAGTACAACCAAAAGGTCACGAGGTCATGTTTCTAGGTCGCTGCACGCAGAAAACGTAGGTATAAATCATAAATAAATAAAATATATTCTACACATTCTCTAAGATACCTTCCCTTGTCTACCTTGTTTGGGATATTTTGGGATCGAGGTTCGGTACAAATTGAATTGTGTAACGCTTGCATCAGCACGTTTTTGTGCCCCCTATCATTTCCCGATGTTTTGGAACTGCAACGTGTGAAAGTATGAATGCTCCGGAGGAGCGTCTTTATCATGTCAGGCCTTGCAGTCCCAAAAAGTATGAATGCTAAAGAAGCGTGTCTTGATGCTGCCAGGCCTTGCAGTCCCATTTGAGACTGCACGGCGTGCAGGTATAAACGGCTCAAAGGCGTATCTTGATGCTGCCGAACTTGTAATTGGGTATCCACTGTTTATCCCTTTTTTTGTCAGCCATTTAATGAGGATATGCGGAGCGCAACAACCTTGGTTCTCCCCAAGGATTTTAAGGCCAAGGTTCAAGTTGATGTCTTCGTTTTTTTGACGAATTGCTAAAGCTGGATCCTGCAAAACCTGCACCATCCGGGAGAGGAATTTCAGCATGACATCCCGCTGGCCCCCAGTGATGCCGCAGTTCAGGATCTTCATTTCTAAGCCAAAGAGGCAAAGAAAGCAGCAAAAAACTTCGTTAAGCAAATGGCAATGCAAATAGTTCAAGCTAGTGGTTTTGGCCACTGTCCATCTGAGGGCGTCACTGTCTGTGACCTTGCTGGTATACCATTGGTTGTACTTGCCACCCATTTTCTGGAAGCGTGCTTTCATCCATGGATGCTTCTTGAGCCTTCCAGAAATTTCCAAAGGCGCTCAGTCCACCTACAACATCATCTTGAATCCTCAGCGTTCTCTAGTCACTAGCCTGAAAACCAAACAGACTATTGGCCTGTCTTGCTCACCTCCGACAAAAATCTTGCCAGGCTGGATCCCAGAGCAGGGATTCATCCCAGATCGCACATCAAAAGCGTCCACCTTCAGCGAGCATTAATCAAGAAAAGGAATGGTGCAAAACTCCTCACAAGCACATGACAAAGCATAGCAACAGGCCAGCAAAGCAATAAAGACAGATTTCCAATCGGAATTCTGGTTGAGAAGGCGATGGAAAAAGAAGTACCGGACGTCATTTACACCGTACCTGGGGAGTGGCGACATGAAATTAAATTGGGAAAGCATGTTCTCATGGTTTTCTGCAGTTCTCATGGCACCTCTTGTCGAACTCTGTCAAGTTTACTTGCACAAAGCGGAAACGGTGGGAAGCGTACGCATCCTGAGCATGGCAAGCGGCCTTGAGCACCCTCAGCTCTATTCACAATGCACTTGTGTCTTCAAAATTGACGTAATGCTAAGCATCTATGAAATCCTGAGGCAAGGAATCATACAGGACACTCACAGCCAGCCCATTTGTGATGGCTGTCTGGTAGAGCTTCCTCACTAAAAAGAAAGTTCGAAGACTCCCGACTCAAGATCTTGTCTAAGCAAGAGACAACAAGAGAGCAAATGCAAAGAGCACTGCCGAGCGTCTGAATTTTAGAAAAGGACGGCTTTGCATATTTGCCACGTTGCCAGTCTTTCTTTGTGGTAAAGTAGCTTGTAAGGACCATCAGCCTCAAAGAGAGAAAGCTTACCAAAAGCTTCCCCTACATAAACCATATTATATTGCAAATCCTGGGGCCCAAGCCCACAATCAGCAACTTTAGGCAGAGCTCCTGGTTCGCACTTACTTCGCCCAACTCCACAGACAGTGGCTTTGCCGGACCTTGACAGTTCTTGAATATCAAGGTTGGATCTTACATCTGCAACGGAAGCCGCCAACGTGCTGAGAGCCCTGCACGCTGAATAGGCCAGAGCATCCAGCTCCCACATACCTTCCACAAGTCTAGACTGCTCTGCAGGTTGCCCTTGCATTGTGCTAGTAGCTGCTAGTGCATAGCTTGGTTTGCGGCATCCCCTCGCTTGCACAGCCATAGGTTTTCCCAATGGTACATTGCGAGCCTCACAATCACCGCCAAAATGGCACCAAGAACGCCGGGAAGCGGCAGGCATTAAGACTTGCAAATTCCGCATCCGAGCAACCCTCACTCCATTCATCTAAAAGTAGCACCTGCCATGGCAGCACGGTCAATGATTGATCATCTGGAGCAGCTGAAGAGCGACATGCCGCGAGGTACTAGCAGGTTCTCCAAGTACACCAATCAAATCAAAGCATGTTGAACTGGGGTCTGGGTCCAATTCAAGCACGTCAGCATCACCGAAGGACATGCTTTCCTTGCAGCAATCTCTTCAGGGCTCAGCGTCGTGGTGCTTGTCGGCCCTTTACCTGTCACAACAGCATTCGCGGTCCTAGTGATAGCGAATTGAGTCTGAATCGCCTTTGCTTTGGCTCTTGGGTCATGTAAGCTTTCTCAATCAAAATAGGGTCACGGTGCAAATTGCTTCTCTTTTAGGACTCATACCGTGAGACTTCGTGAGACGGATTCTGAGTGAAACCAAGAAAGGCAAGGAGACCATGCACTAACTTTGGAAAACTTGAGCTTTGCTAAGCTGACCGCTTCGCGCTTGTCCGCTTCCTGCGGTCTGCTTTTCTCAATGTCCATCCATCCTCTTCTTTTCTTCTAAAAGTCTTTGTGTCACGTTCTTGACCCGAGCAATCACTTCTACTCTGTCTGTCTCAGCTATATGCTCAAGGATGGGAGTCCACTTGTCAGGATGCCAACGGAGTAGAGCTGTGCGGAGTTTCTTCTTTGCTTCAGCCGCTGTGTCAGACGCGGTGATTCCAGAAACCGAAGGCAAGCCATCAGGCCAAGGAATGTCAAGGCATGTCAAAAAAGCATTTTGCACTCCTGATGCTAGCCTCTTCTCCAGCTTGCTCCATGCAGTACAAAAGTCTGCAAAAGAATGAAAGGGACTTGCTTGAGAAACAGCAGCATTGACTTCTTTTGCGGGCGACGGGGAGCTTTTTGTGGGAGCAGCTGCGCGAGGTTTTGAGCCTTGCTTTGAGGAAGTAGACGGAAATGATGAGGGAAATGTTGGAAATGCTTGTCTGTCTTTTCCCACATGCTCTGCGTGAGCCTTGCATTCCCGTTCCTTCTCCTCGCGCCGCCGTCTCCGTATGGCTTCCATCTCATCAAGGCGCCGAAACGCTTGGGCCCACCGTGCCTCCCATTCAGCCCAGGAGTCCGACTGTGTCCTGTCGAAAGACCTTGGCATTGGCTTCCAGTCGCAACTTGATGAGCCAGTTTCCTCAACAATTTTTGCCACAGGCTTTTCCGAAGGCTTAGCCAACTGCCTCAAATGCTCTAGACCCTTAAGGCGCTGCTTGGCTCGCTCACCTTGAGCTGCCAAGATGCTTCGTGGTTCGTCGAATTCCTCCGATTCACTACTGCAGGATGCAGGCCTTTCCAAGTCTGCTAAAAGTGGGCGTTTTGGCTGTGGCTGACCGGGTCTTTCTTTAAAGTGGCTGGCCCACCCTGCTTTGAGAACCTCCAAGTCTTCATCTACACCGCTGCAATGAAAATCATGAAGCATCCGCTCTGCCACGTCTTTTTGGCATGCATTCAGCATTCTGTCTAAACTGTCGCACGGCGACCATCTCCCATCCAAAAGAGCCAGGTTCCAGTGTCTCTGGTCTTTCTGGTCCTGGCATTGCTTGTCTAATCGGATTTGCCGGCCACGTATTTGTCGTTCAATATGTCGCTGAAAGGCCTCCGCGGGCATTCAGTCGGACAAGATCAAGATCTGAATGTAAGGCCTCCGTCATCCACCTAGAATGCCAAGCATTCACAGGGGATTGGTTGGAAAGTACAGAGCTGCAATGCCCCCTTTGTGCATACTAGTCAGCAACTGATACAAGCCAAATGCCTGCAGATAAACATCACCAAATCCCAACCAAATACAAATAACGCATCCAGAGTTACAATGATAGAAAAGGCTGTATAATCATCACTGAGGGCCAAGCTTTTCTTTTTTGGTGGAGGCTTGTCCTTCACATCTGGCCTGGCAAGGACGGTCGTTCAACTTCCAGGCTTGCTGACTGCTGGACTCTGAGCTACCAACCGCTGAGTAGACCCACCAGTGTCACTGGCACTATATGGCTTGAGCAAGGAATCAAATCGTTGACGGTGTGGAAGCCACATTTCCTTGTACAAACCTTCCTCAGATGTTCGGAAACTGGAGGGCACCCCTTCAAACTCACAGTCTGCCCTTTTTGTGTGAACTGTACTTTGTCTTGTCCCCTGTAAGGCAGCAACCGTCTTCCAGGGCTTTCGGTTTCCATTCCAGTGCAAGACTTTCTTCGACTGAAGCTTTGATGCTGAAATGCCCTTGCGCCAACCTGGGAACAGACTTCTCAGAGCGAAGGTTACCGTGGGTATTCACGAGGTAGAGGTACGTTAAGGTATGTACGGGTACATTAGTTTGTCCTTATGTACATACTAGTCCCGTGTTGCCCACTTGCCTATGATAGGCCTACGTCGGGACAATCCTCCCTTGAAGCTTCCACAAGTCCGTTGGAATTGAGGAAGCCAGCCTCTTTGTAAGCATGGTCAAGCAACCTGCTACTCTTGATAAGCACAACTTTGGGTTTGTCCACAACTTTGAAAAGCTTCAGGCACTTCGAGTGTATGCTTGACGGTCTGGCTTCAGCTGTGTCTGTAGGTTCTGCTTCATGCCTGTTGCATTCTGTATTCCTCTTAGCTGGGTTGCCCTGAGTCTTTCTGTGCGCTGAACTTGTTTCAGCTTCGAAGCTGCATCATTGATCGAAGAAGTTTCTGACCGAATGCACATCCCATTTGCATACCAGTGCAGATGCGAATGCCAACCAGTGCAGAACTGTGTGGTTGCCAGGCTGTGAAATAACATCTTACAGAATGGAGGCACGTTTCTGGAGGCTGTGAAATAGCCATCGTCTTTTGGGAAGCTTTTATGAGGCACCCGTTTCGTTAAGCCTGATGCGCACATGCGGAATTCTACAAGCATCGTGAGGCCAAATCTTGGCTCCAGGGTTTGGGTGATGTCGATGAGAATGGGGGATGTGGGGTCTTGGATGGGTTGCACAAAGCGTCAGGATGATGTCCTCTGCTAGATGGGCCCCCAATCTAGACAAAAAGGTCGAGCAAGTAAAGAATGGCTGACTGACTTGAAGTTTCAAAGCGCCCGGCCGGGGCCAAAAAGTATCGTCGTCAGTATCAAAGTAACACTATCATCCATGCAATCAAGAATAAATAGATGGTCCTGCAAGGAAATGACAATACGTCAAATGATGGGAGATTGTTAGTTACGCATATGTAAACACCCCCAATCGTACTGAATACCCCGGCAACAGCGGGGGCCAGAGGTCTTAAATACAGGTTCTTGAAAAAGCAAGGAAAGCCCAAGTTTCAATTAATGCAAACATCTTTAAGATGTGGGAATGGAAAAAAGGCGACGTCACAAATTGCTGAAGTGCAAAGTCAGGCCAAAGACGCGACGAAATGAGGAAGGAGATCAGGTGAGACGAGACAAGACACGATCACCCAAGAAGGTGGCAGTCTTTTGAAGCTATACCACCTGCCCGAGCATGCTTTCAAGTTTGCTTCTGTCACTTCTGTCAATTCTTTCGTTACTTGCAGTTGGATTTGTTTTTTAGGTGACTCTGGAATTCCCAACAACCGCCAAGGACACTGGAGAAGTTCACCCTGTCAAATGGTAACCTTTCGAAACTGCTCCACCAATTGGAAGATAGTTGTCGTGTTCAACTGCCTAGGCTTGCACAAAGTCGTCATCCGGACTCATCATGATGTGTTCTACATATGTATGGTAGAGGCCAGCTAGCTCGCTTACTACTTCTCGCCCGCCTGCCGCATGCGACAAGGCAATTCAAAGATCAAGAAAACCAGGACAACAAAAAGGCAGCTCCAGAAAAGGATATATATATATATGGAACCTGTACCAACAGTAAAATTGAATGCGCCACGCAAAGAAAAAGAACAAGCACCAACCAAGAGCAACACGGAGCAAAGCAAGCCAGCAAAATGAATCCAAGAAAAGCTGGAAGCAAGCAATGAAAAAAGCAAGGGTAGAACTGGTCACAAGCAGCACTTGACACATGGAATGGAAAGTGCCCCATTTTGAGGCGACAGGAACCATGGCAAATTCAGTATTTTTCGAGCTAACACACCGGAAGTAAGTATATACTCTCCCACTCAATGCCACACCAAGCCAGCATCCCAAAATCCAAGGCAGCCGCCCAAGTCACCATAGTTCCACTCTGCAGGGAAAACGATGTAATCCTTCTCTTCACCCTCACAAAGGCGGTGACGAAGTCACAAGGGCAAGCCTTGACGTCCCTGCCTGCTTCAGGTTCAGGAAGGCCAGCAGCAGGGGAGGCTGGGAGCCGCCAACCTGATAAGATCAACAAAATCAAGGAGCAAAAACTTGGGTTCTCACAACCTGCGGGCCAAAGTTGTCAAAAATGCCGGACCAAGTGGCCCAAAGCTGGCCACCACACCGGTTGTGCTGCGTCACCAGTTCTTCCACTCTCTCAGCAACATGCCTCTGCCGAATGAACACTTTCAACTCTCTGCTTGCAACTTGCAGCCCCTGTTTTGTCACCATGCACTCGGTTTGGCTTTTGGGGCCCGTGCTGTTCTTTCCAACGCTGCAAGTTCACTGCAAAAACCCCAACGTTGAACGCTTGCAAGGCTATCCTAAGATGCAGGGGTTGCTCCCAAATTGTCGGAATGCGCACCAGACAATTTCTAAACCTTGAACGGACGCAGAAAACCAAGCAAAGAAAGCCTTTGAACCGCATACCTGCTTGACATTGCGCCACGTTTCAGGGTCCACTACTGTCCAAAAATAACCATAACTAACACGATATAACTATATACAAAGTATCCGCGACCAGCCCACCGGTTACAGGAAAAGTCTGATAAATGCACCAAAGAATTGTTCTTGACAATTTGGAATCTGTTTCCCGAAATTCGCCCCAAATTCGCCCCAAAGAAAAACAGCCCCAGACTTAAAAACACTCTTCTGAACTCACCAATGTGTTCGAGAGCTGTTCTATTCTTGTCTTGTTGGCCAATTCGCACCCTCTTGGGATTACCATCATCTTTTTAAGGGCGTGTTCTTAATTGTGGAACCCCTCAAAAACCCTTTCAATGGTCCACCTGCTGCAAACAAGGCAGGGCCGAACCGTGGAATCCTGTGCACAGTGGCTATCAAGAATCAATTTCTTCCAACTCGCTCCCAGCTGGGCACTGCAGCCTTTTGGCCTTAGAATTCAATGCGGGTTCCTGTGAAAACTCTCCCTTCAATACCTAGCTCATTTTGCTCCAGCTGTCATGCCAAGGCAATCACTTCTTGAGAAACTTATCCATCTTGACCTGGAACGGCAATCAATAAGTCGATGCTATATATACACTTGGTTCCGGAAATTTGCTTGCCTCGGACTCTCGAGAGACAAAGCCAATCGTCTTCCCACTGGCCAAAAGCTGCTTCCGCAATTCAGCTAGGTCTGCCTCACCAGGCAATCAAAAAACAGGCTGCCCAAAGCCAATCCACCACTTTGTGCTTCCTTCATCACAGCCTACTTCAATGAATTTCCCGGCTTCTCGGTCTTGCAAGTGGTCTTGTGCTCTTTGCTGTTCTGCACCCTTCTCTCTTTCTCTTTTTGGTTGCGTCGTCGCACAGCAGAAATCTCCCTCAAAGAAAACATTTCCCCTGCCCACCCAACAAAGCTCTCAAGAGCTGCTGCCCTCCGAAAATGAAAGTTTCTTCTCTCCCTCTCTCACTCTCTCGCTCTTGTCAAGATACAAGCTTTTGTACAATAGCATACTTGCTCTATCGTAGTGTTCATGTAACAATGGCTTGGTGCTATACAATGCACCTTGGATCAAAGGCCTTGAGCCTAGCTCAGCCTAAGGCAATTGCCAGAGGAAAACAATACAGTGACGTGCACAAACAAACGACAAACAAACAGCTGCTGAATTTTACATGGTTGCGGAGCAAGGATCCTGGTAACAACAATCCAGGTGAGCTCCAATACAACAACAGGAACAAGCATACAAACACAGACAACAGAGGACAAACCTTGACCCTACAACAGGTAGCTTGAACAGCTGCAACAATGGCAGCACCAGCAGCAGCTCAAGCTGGAGGAGACCACCTGCCTCCAGTTCCAGAAGATGAGACAACCACAAACATGGCAAACATGAACAGATACAAACTCAAAACCCCCCTCTTCAATGGAGACTATGGCACGTTCGAAGAATGGAAATACAAGTTCACAGCATACATGGGATTGCAAGACAACGACTACACAGAATTGCTACAAGCAGCAGAACGAGGCACAGCAGAACTCACAGAAGTACAATTACGAGCAGCGGCATCAACAATCGAAGATGGTGAACGACATGTTCACCTTAGCACCGACTTGAGGTACATCCTCATCAACACAACAACAGGAGCAGCAGCCACAGTCTGCAGACAATACCAACATACAATTGGCTTCGAGATATACCGACAATTGTGCATCTGCTTCTCCATTCCATTGGGGACAAGATCCATTGGACACCTAACAAGACTATTGAAGCCAACATTTGACAAGAACAACTTCGAAGAATCATTTTCCACATGGGAATTTGAGCTACAACGATTCGAGCGAGACAATGGCAAACACTCCCAGACTCTGTGAAGATTGCCGTATTGCTCAACGAGACAAGTGGACCACTACAACAACACTTACAACTGCTTTCAGGACAAAGCCCGAACTATGCACGAGTCAAACAAACAATCATCGAGTACTACAGGTCGACAACAGCATTCAGCAAACTACAACAACTACGATCACAATCACCCAGCGTGGCAACAAGCTTTGGTGGTGGACAAGCACCTATGGACATTGATGCAATCCATAAAGGAAAAGGCAAATACAACAGCTACAAAGGAAAAGGCAAAGGAAAAGGAAAGAACAAAGGCAAAGGCTACGGAGGATACAACGGCTATATACGGCTACAACAATTACAACACCAACTACAAAGGGAAAGGAAAGTATGGAGGAAAAGGATTCAACAGCTACAACAACAGTCCGATTGGCTTCGGCAATCCATTCGGAAGAGGCAACAAAGGAAACAAAGGATTCAGTAAAGGATACAACAAAGGCAAAGGAAAGAACAAAGGAAAACAAGCGACAGACACATGCTACAGATGTGGACGAACAGACTGCCGGGTGGCAATACACAACATTGGACAAGGAGAAAACAATGACATTGAAGACACGACAACACAATGGTACGACGACTACTACGACAATGGATGGTACTGTCAGGACTACACGAGACCACAACAGGGACAACAACCATTGGCACTTCCGCCAATTCCATTCACAAGCAATCACGATATGACACCAATCCATGTCATTGCCATGATCAGCAATGGAAATGACCACAAGACAGCCACAACAAACAGCGGTACAGCAGACACTATACACATCATGACCGACAGTGGAGCAGCCACACATGTCTGCCCACTATGGTTTGCAGACAACTCTCCAGTGTACAAGATCGACCAAGAACAAAGCCCAAACCTCAGGACAGTGACAAACAAGACAATACAACACTATGGAGTAAGATGGGTCTGCACGCAATCAAGAGGACAACCAATTGTCATACCCTTCTATGTGTGTGACATTCATGACCCAATCCTGTCAGTGACAAGACTGACAGAACAAGGCTTTGACATCAGGTTCAACGACACTCCCACAATGCGCCATGACAAGGCATTCAATGTTCCCTTGGTGCAGCAGCACAACCTCTACTACTTGCCAGCAAAAATCATGAACCTGGGACAACATCAACAACTACAGTTGAGACATACACAAAAGGGCATGATTGCAATGATTGCTCCAACAACACTGACAAGACATGGACCACAACAAGTCCTTGGAGGCAACGGCGACTATTGGAACTACAACAATGAAGTATACCTTGTACGGTATCACCGGAACAAGAGAAAAGCTCTCTTTGTTCCTGGCGACAATTGCCCATTACCACTGGAGACATTGAGCAACTACAGACGAACAATCATCCGACGAACAGACGGGAACAACCAGGACATTGTTGAACAATACCATGACCTGAGCAAGCATGAACAACGACGAGTGATACAAGGAGACACATGGACAGGGGAAACATAGTTCAGAGTGAACAAGCCGCCAGCACAACCGGCAACCACAACAGCGAAGACAACCGAGCAGACAGAGAAAGCACCACAGGCACTACAAGCACGACACCAATCAACAACACTACAACTCCCGGAACAAGACGGGACAACACGACAGGTAAGCAGAGACCCACTATACAGACACACAACAAAGAAGCCAGCTCCAACAACTACGCCAATACCTGATCCATCCACAATGACATCAACAACAGACTACTGGATCAGGGAAGGACATTATTGGAAACGAGTTCACGTACAGGTACGGCCGACAATGTACGCACCAAAACAAACAGACGATGGTCCAGACATTGGACGACTCAAATCGACACGGACAACATTCGTGAACAGAACGGAACAAGGAAGAGGATACACAATCCATGACAACTGGCACGAATCAGGAGCAAGACAGCTTGACAGACAATGGACTGGATCAACAAACTTCAAAAGCTCAAATACGAATACGACACGGACAATGAAGATGAATCTCAACAAGCACAACGCGCCAAAGGAATGAAGGCGCCACAACAACCAACAAGACAAGAAAGGCTAGAACATTAACTGACACATTTACCATACCGCTCATGGTGCCCAATCTGTGTTAAGAGCAAAGGAAGAACAGACAGTCATCCAAAACAAGCAAGCAAACAACCAGTGATACAAGTGGACTTCACATACATGAAAGCATTTGGAGAAAAACAAGTACTGTACTACCAGTACTGACAGCAATAGATGTCGAATCAGGTATGGCAATGGCAGTTCTTGTGCAAGACAAGAACCAACAACAACAATACCTGATACGATGTCTACAAACATTCATGTTCAAATGTGGACGAGCACAAGCAAGACTATCAACCCCAACACTACAACCAGACCAAGAAGAGTGCATACAGAACCTATTGAAGGCCGTCGCACAAAAGCTCGGAAACAACGTCAACATCCGACAATCACCGGCATACTCGTCGCAATCAAAAGGAAGCATTGAACGATTCCATCGCACCCTGATGGGACAAGTCCGAGCACTGGTACAACAAGTGACCACAAGTTACAACCTTACATTGAGCGTACAACATCCGGTCATGCCGTGGATTGCGCGGCATGCAGCATGGCCATGCACAATGACGGACAAACAAGTTACCAAAGACGATGGCAAAAGGACCACAAAGCACCACTATGCGAGATGGCAGAAACAGTACAATACATGATACCAACAACAAAAGCGCAACCCAAGATGGAACCAAGATTCTTCAAAGGAATCTGGCTTGGCATAGATACAATGACTGGAGGAGAGTCAATAGTTGGCATCCCTGGCAAGGTCATCAAAGCAAGAACAATACGAAGACAGATCATGCCAGACAAGTACGACAAGCAACTATTGGATACTATCAACGTGTATCCATGGAATCTGCCAACACCACCAATGGCAGTTCCACCACAATTGCTTCTTCCAGCTGACAACACCGCAAGCAGACACGCAATTGGCACACAAGCCGACATTACAGTGGAAGATACAAGTGCACGGACAATACAAGAGACACCACTGGCACTACCAGCTCAAGCAATGCACCACCAGCCAATGGATACAACAATGGCAACATCGGCAAGACCACCACTGCCAATACCACCAGCAAGCAAACGACAACACGAGGAACCTACAGGTGAAGCGCAATCCAAACAATTGAGGACAGCACAGTCCTCAGCAGCAGCAAACCGAGGACAAGATGAAGAACAACCAAAAGCAAAGATGAGAATACAAGCAGTGACAATCACCACACAGAAAGGTGACAAGATCACCACAGCATCCTGTGAAGATGAACAAGAAGCAGATGTGGAAAGGATGCTACAAGAACCCTTCGTCTACGACAATGAAGGTCTTGATCCATTGAAAGTACAAAAAGGAATGAAAAAAGAAGCACAATCGATGAAGACACAAGGAGTGTTCACAGAGATGAACTACAATGATGTCCCTGAAGAACACAAGAACAAGATCATAGAAACTTGGAAACAATCCAAGACCTTGACAACATCTATGCGAGCACACCAATCTTTGGGATCTTACGTATCCTACTGACAATGGCACAGCACAACCACTGGACAATACAAGCAGGAGATGTGTCAACAGCATTCTTGCACACACCAGCAGCAACAGACAATCTTTACATGTGGCCACCACCAGAACTATACCCGAGTGGTCACAACACAACCACAGTATGGAAACTCAACAAAGCAACCTATGGACTACGATCAAGTCCAAAATCCTGGCAGGATCACTTTGCACAAGTCCTACAACAAATGGGACTGT